ATGTCACAGCACAGCACAGTGGTGTGTGTAATGTTTGTTTCTTTACGGAATATTCAGTTGATAATAATTTTAGTTCTTATTTATTTTTTTAGGCTCAGGTGACACGGCAGTAATACAAAGCGCTATTGCCCACTGGGAGAGCCTCACTTGTTTGACATTTCCGCCATACAATGCAGCCACAGGACACACGGCAAGAATAAATTTTATCAAAGGTGACGGGTAAGTTCCAACATTTTATCTATTAATTATTGCTGAAACAAAACTGTGAGATTACATCCAAGGCGACCATGAATTTTATCAGAATTCATACCCAGTTTTCCGTAATAATGTATAATACATCATTGCTACATGAATTGGGTTTCGTTTAATCACCACCATCAGTACTGACCTATAATCCGTGACACCTATCGGCCATTCATTATATAAAATACATGGCACATAAAGTAAATATGATTATGCCAAAAAATCATTTCTCAATATTGAAAACGATAACCGAAATTGAATTTTACCCATATTTTCAAATGCGCATTTATCGAATTGAAATACAAAATACGTTATAGAAAATTACATTAGCCGCAGTACATAATACGGTCATTTATTATTTATTTACGAATGCCCCCATAAACATATCACAATATGTGACGAATTCAACATTGCCGAGTGTATAGCGAACACATCTAAATTGAAAATTGATAAATTGAAATCAAATATCAATATTCAGTGTGTATTGGTAGGACCCGACCTAATTTCGACGTATACGCAAAGGGACCGAAATATCCAGTGGCAGTCAAAACATTGTGGGGCTAGGGATCAATCACCAACATTTCAAAATGGGTATTGGGATAGAGGGTGTGTCACCTTGTCAGTTGATTGTTAGTAAATGCTTCACCTCAAAATTCGTGGACGTAATGCGGAGTAATTCTCCTGAATAATGTGGTACTGTGTTTACATATTTTTTCTTTTCAGTTTGATCCTCATACGACCTTCAATAGATTGTTCAATCCCTATACCGACTAAATGTGTAACCGCGAGACTGTTTTATTCGTAATGTTACTAGCTACAAAAGACAATATATAAAACCAGTGTAACGAGTACATCGCCATATTACTCGCGATCTTGTGTTGTGCATTTTCTTTGTTCAACACCTCCACCAGATACATACTTCGTTCTCGAAACCGGTCATTCATTAAAACGTTGAGTCTATCAGCTCTAGCCGGTAGTTGTAAATCCAGTATTTTTTCCTGCACCCTGATATTGATACTGTACGCACCAACCCCAACCACCGTGATTATTACGGGCAAGCTTTGTACTGTTCTAAGCGTTGTTTCGTCTTGTGTCAGTGCAAGTCATGTCAACATATTACAACTTCCAGCCAATAAAAAACGCCGTAACATTAGAGGTGTGGCTTAAATGACATTCTACTAACTG